CCGCACGCCGCCCCCCACCCCGCGGGATGTGGCCGACAAGACGGGCGCGAACGGGCCCGAACGGGTGGCGACCGACAACATGGCGACAACTGTTCTAACCGCCAAGCCGGTCACAGGGACGACCTTCGGAGATCCGCGCAGGCGCGCGGAGGGGCAAACGGCGCAGACCTCGTGACGTCAGTGCGCCGGACCAGTCGGGAAGCCGAGGGGCGGGGCAAAGCCGGAGAGGCGCTGCATCCCAGGCTTGGGCTAGAGCGGGGCGGGGAAGAGTAGGAGGGGCTTGCCGCCCCACCTGTCAGTCAGGACTCCTGATCTGTACGCAATCTGCCCAGAAGAAAGGGGGCACCCGAGGCTCCCAGGAACATTTGGTGACCCAAATTCGCAGTCCTTTGTGGTAAAAAAACTTCATTTGTGGCGACCTAGGGATAAGAATAAATTTTTAAATGGGAATTTAAATAGGAATAATAATTCCTGCCATATACTTAAATATATCTCACATGGACGAGTCCAGCACATAGTAATCACTAATAGGTGTTTGCTATGATGATATTTATTATCATTATCTAACAACAACAGCAAAAAAGGTGAGGGACCTGTGTGCAAAGTTTAAGAACGATAATGGCTTAAGTTATTGTGTGCTATAGCTGCAATCTCTGTATAATCGAGTTCCGTGTGTATTGTAGTAACAGTTATTATTATCAGTATTTTGTGAGGAAAAAACAAGAGGTTTAGAAAGTCTTTTCCCAGAACTGGACATCCTGCAAGCAGTGAAGCAGAGGAGGTTAGATTCTGAGTCTGTGCTCTTAACTCCCACTATTTCCTCCCCAAGTAAGATTTTAGGTGTACACAGGTCCCTAAGTCACTTTCTATCACATAGTGAACAAGTTATTCCATTTTCACTTTTCTTTCAGTTATTTGAATTGCACCAATGAGAAGTCTCTATTGGTGCTAATAGATCCGTAATTCCTCTCTACATTTGCTTGAATAGATCTTGAGTTAGAAGGCTTTAGCAAATACTGAATCTAGAGTTATTATTTATTTTCATAATATTTATTTTCCATCTATACTGGTTTTCTATTCTATATGGTATTGAAATAAGGTTTGTTTTCATTTATTTAGGTCAAAATGTATTAATTTAAATGTTAAGTAAATATTAATACAAGCAGTGCACAGATGTGGCAGAATCATCATGATGATGGTAAGTATATGAATCACTGAAGCTTCTCAACACTACTCAGTCATGTACATAGACTCTATGACATTGACATATATCCTAACCCCTCTATACCTCAGTTTCCTCACATGTAAAATTGGGGCATTAAGGATGCCACATAGAAGGTTACATGGAGGAATAAATGTGTGTAAAGCACCTACAAGAAGGGCTAGCATTTGCTGGTATTGTATTTATTTGAAATGCCATGTCCTCTGAGAAGCTTTTCTCAACCATGCTGACTCATTTCTGGTCCTCACTCAAGGTACAGATTAGCAGCATCAGACTGATCACTTTCTTCTCTGAGTTTTCCTTTGACCCTCCTCAGGGCCCAGTCCTTAGCCATCCTTTTAGCCCAAGTAATTGTAATGGACTCTCAAGACTGGGAGCTGCCTCCTCAGGGGCCCATCCTGACTAGGGACATTATGTGGTTGGCGCTGAGTTTGCTCCCAGTAACAGCACCACAATAAAAGACACACTTCTTGGGGTCAGCAGGTGGCATGGTGGTTGAGGCGCTGGAATTCCCGCATGGCTGACCATGGCTCTCTTCCTGCTTTCTAACTCTCCCCCTCCCTCGTCTTTCTCTGGCAAAATTAATGTGAAACAATAATAATATAAATAAATAAAAATAAATAATCCCTTAAAACAAACAAACAAAAAAAGCCACACTTCCAGAGCAGCTTTGATACATCACACACAGTTTGAGTGCTTCAGTGTCATACCAGCTCTCTGAGGTGGGTAAGAATAAATGAGTATTTGAATGAATGATTGGATGAAGGTAACTTCACAAGGCCTTCATGATATCCCAGTGGGGTAAGGAGAATAGGAATTGTTATCTCCAGGTTCTCTGGGTTCAATCTCAGTTCTCCCACTCACTAGATATACCCTATGGTGAGGTTTTTGGTTTTTGTTTTTTTGTTTTGTTTTGTTTGTTTGTTTACTTTTTTTACATTAAATCACTGTGTATCATTAAAGCATACCAAATGAATTTTCCCATCATGAATATATATTGAATCAGTCAAAGATATTACCATATACATTATAATCAACAGATTGCCTTCCATTTTGGGTCTCTCAAATGTTTTGCATTTTAATTCTTCTTGATTCCTTTCCTCTCACCCTCCCCTATTTCCAACCCTCCTCCCGCACTGTCTCCAGCATCACCATTGCTCTCCATGCTTTTGTAACTTCCAGTCTTTCAGTTTCTGCAACAGAGTGCTAACACCCACTATATATTGAATGGGGACATACAATGCCTCTCTTTCATAATCTGACTTGCTTCACTTAGCAGTAAATCTTCCATATGTGCTCAGTCTTTCTTCTTAAAATGGGGATAATAATATAATACTATCTACCTCAAAGGGTTATTTTAGGGATTAAATGAATTCATATGTGTAAAGTGCATAGAACTGTGAAAGAGGGAGACTAGTGTCCAGGAGTGGTGAGTATATTGGACCTGCGTAGGCCAACCTAGGTTCTACTTGGTAGCTGTTTTTTGTTTTAAAAGAGATTTTTGCTATGGGATGTGTGTGCTCACCAAAGAGACAGAAAGTGAGAAATCTCCCCCCAGAGGGATGGCCATGCTGCAATCTCTTCTGCTGCATTCTCCTCTTGGGATTTTGGGCATACATACACATATACTGGGGTGAGTTTCAAGCCACTGGGTCCAGGACTTGAACTATAGTCGGTCATGTGGGAGTCCAGTGACATAACCAGCTGTTTTTTAACTGATGGGGCTGTTAGCTTTCATACTTCAGTTTATTCCTTTTTATTCTCTAATGTTCCATCTTTTCTTTTTAAGCTTATTTCTTTCATGAGAGATAGAGAGTGAGAGAGAGACAAGTATCCTTAACAGGGTCTCATACCATAATTTACCCCCAGCCTTCCCAGCCAGTCAGTACCATGGGCATATTCCCCCCCCACCTCCTCCTCTATTTACAAGTAGATCAGGGAGTCAAACCTGTGGTCTTTCATATGGATCCAGCTTCACTTGAGTCATGCACTACTGAGCTGTCACTGAGCTGCCCTAAAGCTGCATCTCTAAGGGCTCTCAAGACAAACAATCTGTTTTGGGTACCAGCTCTGCCCTTTACTACCTGTGTGACTTTGGGCAACTCTGAACTTCAGTTGCCTCATCTGTAAAACAGGGATAAAAATGAAATTACTATGAGGACTGAAAAAAAAAATAATGCATGTGAAAAAACTAACACAGTGTTTGGTACACAATGAGAGCTTACTAAATGTTTATTATTTTTGTGAACTGGGGGAAAAATAGTCATAATCCAGGGACATAAATATTCGGTAAGCTTCTCACTTCCCAGTAAGTGTGAAAGGCAATGTGTATGTATAAATACAGCTGGAGGGGCATGACATAAAGCCTTCTTATAGCAAACTATGGTTTGTTTAAATCAGAGTTCATGGGTGAGAGGTCAGAGGTCATGGATTAGAGACCCGTTCTTTCCTTCTATTCAGCTCTGCCCAGGGAGAGACCTGTTGGTCTAGCAGAGATCATGCTGTACACCACAGAATTATTTGCTAGCCATTTACAAATTGTGTGTATTCCTGCATACATATTTAGTAGACATAATAATTCCTCTCCCCCAAAAATATATACACACTCTAACCCCCAGTAAATGGGAAGATGTTACTTGCCACAGCAAAGGGTCTTTTGTGGATATGACTAAAGATCTTGAGACAGGAAGCTTATCCTGTATTGTCTGGGTGGGCCCAGAGTAATCACAGGGTCTTTATAAGAGGAGGGGTGAAGATCAGAAGGAATGCACTCTTGCAGATCCATTTTAGGCTTCTGACCTTCCGAACTGTAACGTAATAAATTTGTGTGAGTAATTTGGTATAGCAGCAATAGGACACTACCATTACCTCTCTCTCTCTTTCTCTCTCTCTCACATAAATAAGTATAAACATTTGTCTTTTCTTCAAAACTCAGAAGGTCCACTCACATTAGGCCTGTGTCTTCACATACTGAAAAGACTGTAGGGTACTATTAGACAGGATAGGTACTTGCTTGCTGCTCTGGGTCCTTTCCCATTGTGTCTACTTCATTCGATAACATCACTTGCCCATCTGCCAAGGCCTCTGAGTGTGAGATCTCAGGCTCATCCAATCTCATGAACAAGCTTGATTATCGCTGAAACTAGTAGGATACCAACAGGCAGTGGAATCTCCTAGCTCCAATTGCGTGTGTTGTATTCTGAGACACTTTGCCTTCCTATGGTCTTGATGGGACCGAGGAGGAGAATACATGCTAAGGCAGCTCTGCACAAATTCTCCAATGATTGTCAAAACTTATTTACAGAACAGCATTTCTGTCTGTGATCCCAGGTAATGCACCAAAGTCAGTGAGACACTTGCAGCCTCACCTCAGGGAACATGCCTCCTCTACCACTTTCATCTCACCTTATGCCTACACAGGAAGGCAACCACCTCGCTGCTGAAGAGAGCCCACGCCTGTCTCTTGTTTCCACACCATTACCTCGGGAAATGCCTGGCTTCCCATTTCCAGTTCCAGCCGTTGTGACAGTTTCAGCCCTCTCCCCTCAGCTCACGTCCTTCGCTTGAGCAGTGAGACGTGAAGACTGACAGCCGCTTGAGAACTGCACAGACTGTCCCCAATTTAAGCCATTTAAATTGCATTTCTGTTCCATAAAATCCGTTTCCCTAATCTGTGCCCCTACCTCTTTGAAAGATGGTAACCCTAGGGAGGAGAAGAAATTAGCCAGGGAGGAGAAGTTCAGACGTGCTAATATTTTAATCGCTCGTTCCTTTAACACATTAGTCACATTCATTAAGTATGATTAATTTGCAGGCTTTGTTGAAAACCATATCAGTTTCCCTATCAGCCACACATCCATCTCTTGCAGAGCAAGCTGCTGGAGTAGCACCAAAAACTCCCCCATTTTTAACACCTGGATTGTTTTA